AACAACCACTTCCTTTTCACTCAGCAAAATAACACATATTGATACAACCAATCGTATTTATGGAAAGTCATTCTGAGGTGATGAAATGTAGTCTAAGTGAAAGTGTTGCCTTTTGTTCTCACTATCTCCGAGGAAAAAAAGGGTTATCTCCAGATCAGATTTTCCATGAGTTATTTTCAGCAGCGAAGAGGAGGTTAAGTTTAGACAGACCACAGGCAGTATTTTAGCTTTCAAAAGGGCTCTTGAAGCGACAAAGCTACAATCACCCTTTGATGTTCCACTCCAAATATTATCATGTGGTTAGACACGATGTATTATTTTATCACTTGGCAAAATGCAATTAATCTGTTTGACGACAAGCGCGGATCAAGAACAATGATCCTGATGAAGTACGTTTTCAGTTTAGATCCTGTCAGCAACAGGGAAAGAAAAGAGCTCCACGTAGGTCGTCAAGGCAGCATGTGATACAGAAATCACCCATGTGTGCGTGACAAGCAGACAGCGTAACAAAATGCCTTTATTAAAACGCGTACAGCATTGGCCATTGAAATTTCCATGATTGTTGAAGACGCACAGGTCTCCACCCTTGAGCAGATTTATTTTCACACATGCTGGGTGAGGTGTCTGCAATTCCTCCCCGCCCTGTCATTGTTTGTTCTGCTGTTAAGTGTGAATATGAGCAGAGTCCAGGCAGAAATATAGTCTTGTTTAAGGGCTTCTCCTGCTCCGCTGAGTGCCGTTTGCTGATGTCACACTAACCCAACAGCTTTCCAGACGTCTGTGCTCTGCCGTGTCCATCAGTGGGGTGAGAACCAGACCTTGAGGCTCTGCAGTCTGCCTCAGTCAGAACATTTGGCTGTATGACGTATTTAAAAAAAAAAGCATAAAAAGGCATGCATTATTCTCCCTGATTCCAACATGACTTATTCATACATGAATATTGCACCAAAACAAGTTTCTAGATGTCAGTGAAACGCATTGGTGTTAATAGGTTAATGGTCTAATGCATTAAGTCTTTTTCTGTGTTGTGTTAAGTTAAATTGCAAAAGACGTGTGTGACCATGTTCTGTGAAGTCATAGCTATGTTTTCTTGTACTGGTCTGTCTCTCTAATTACTCCTGTGCTCCTTTCTGATTTTTGCACACATACCTTTTGTCTAAATGTGGGCAACCGCTGAACAGCGACTCTTTGATCACCTGGACACACACCAATGACAATATATGTTAAGATGAATGCAGACTTTCCAATATGTGCACCATATTGACTTCAAACGGATACACACATTATGAATTCTACCGTCCAGACACTGAGGCATGCAGGGAATTAAATGGAAATCAATGTTTTACGGTGTTGCAAAAAAAAAAAAAATGGAGACACACTTACAGTCTGAAAAACAAATAATACCTCTATTCCTCTCCCTCACACACACACCTCCCAAATGAATCACCCTCCCAAGTGCTTAGCATCATCAGCATTCCCTGAACCAGCCGTGCACAACTGCATGACATGAGAGTCTCAGGGGTCAAATGAAATGCACACTCTAAGTGCCACTTCATCTTCAAGGCATAACAGCGAGCAGCAGCTCAAGAGCAAACTCAAATAAGACTGGATTGCATCTGCCATTGTGCTCCTCTCGCCGGATGACACGCCTGCATGGCGGCACATTGTGAACCTGGGTCCTTTGGCACTTTTCTGCCGCCACGCATGACTTCTCCTCAAACGGGCTCTCCTCCAGCCCCTACTGTCTGTTTATGTAGACTACCACCAGGGCATGGAATGCACCTCACACACACCTCTGAGACCAGGAGTCTGCCTCAAACTGCTGATATTAGTCGTTTGTGTTTTACTTTTACACGGGAGTAAATGTTTTGATTAAAAAAGCCGCTACTATTTTGCTAGTCACAATGGCTTTGTAGTGGAGGGGTTTGCTGCCGTGCTGATGGATGGATGGCCGCTCCCTGCCTCCAGTGAGCGGTTGAATGAGAGGGGAGCTGTCATCACTCCGCTGCCGACACTGTTGCCTGTAGAGAGGGGAAGACAGAGGGGGGCTGGGGAGTCAAAGAGAGCAGGAATTGGATGGAGAGCCAGCGACAGACGATGTGTTGAAGTGGGAGAAGATGTCAGGGAAAGGAGCAGGCCTGGAGAATAAGAAGCAGGAACATGTGTGATGGAAGAGAGGAGGTCAGTGTTGGGTGCAGCTCACCTCACACCCCTATCCCAGAAGGCACTGCAGAGGGAGTCTGCATTACGTAAAGGGGGGAGAGCAGGTGGTACTGTGAAGCACGCAAAGCCTCTCTACGACGTCTGTGATCAACTCTCCTGTTGGGCTGTGAGAGTCCACGCTTAAATGCTTCTGTGACTCTGGGGTCTCATGACCAGTTTCACGGCATACAGTAATAGGGAGACTATTACAGCGGTTGTTACGTCAGAGGATGACCGCATGTTATAAATGTTCAGAACAAAAGGAAGCAGTGCCTTTCTCAAGGGATGGCCAAGGAGTTAATGGTATATATTAAATATAAGATGCACTCTCATTATAAACAGACATCAGTGCTTATAATAACATCAGCCATGTTGGTCTTCCCGGCATAGGATTAGTTATTATTATGTCTTACAAAGACAACTGTGAACGATAAAAACACCAGTCTGTGTTGTAACCAGTCTAATTACCAGTCTAATTGGACACCTTGATGTTCAAACAATCTCCATCTGCTTTTGATTTGCTTTCAGATTGAAAAACTTGCATAGTGGGATGAACACTGCTAATGAGTTCACATTAACCTAACACTTGACTTTAACCTATTAATGTTCACATTTAAGATTCTCCGAAAGGCAATTTTAAAAGGTGTGTTGTAACCGATAGGATGATGTGGCTGCAAGGATGCAAGTTATTGGTCTCACAGTGCCTCCCATTGGTGACTGCTGCAAAGTGCATGGGCTGTTGATGCTGTTTTACCCCAAAATGTGTTAAAGTTCATTTTAATTGAACACAGACATTAACCAAGATATTAAATAGTGCACGTAGATGCTTTGTAATGTCTTTTGTTCAAAGTTTTCTTAGTTTGCCACTATAATCCTTATTGAATTAAAAGTAGTGTGATATAATTGGGTAGTCGGTGATAGTTTGACATTACAGACCATAACAAACCCATGAGACAGGACAACCTAACACGGGAATTCCAGCTAATTCCAGTGAAATAATTTACAGCTCAGCCAGAGTAAGACGTTGTTGGTAAATGTCTAACAGAGTGAGAGAACTGGCATATGTCACTATCTGGAGGGAGCGTCTTGTTATAAACCTCAAATGGCACTGAGCAAACAAACTTTTTTTCTCTTTAACAGTACATGTAATCAATCGTTCCTTTACCATTATTAGCTTCAGTGTTTAGGGGAGGGGGCTATAAGACAGGGGAGGCATGGGTCATGGGGGGGGGAACTTGACACCCTGACACCCTGCAGACAGTAACACACAATCCTTTTTACCTCCTCTGTGAACACCTACAGCATCCATCACGACTTCCAGAACGTTCTGAGCAAAGAGGCTCACACTAAGGCAACCAGTGGGACGGCAGCCGCTACCCACAATGCACACTTTTTACAAGCTGATCTGCACTACTGCATTATATGATACTGCTCACACAGTCCATATATGATGATTATACTCAAGTTGGACATTTTTCTTGTGTCACAACAGCTCCTTTTTCAACATCAAAAAAAGGCTTTTTCTTTAAATGTTCCTTTAAATTGATCATGTTACTGTTTGTTTCAATGCGACAAATAAATCATTATAATTAAACCCAGTCAGATCTAAAAATGTAACTAAGTCTGTACATTTTGTAAGTTACAGGTGGAAATAAGGAAATGCAGTATTATCACTTTAAGATAAAATAAGAAATCAGCCATGATGATGTAATTCACAGTCTTTTATTGTAGAAGGTGAACATCAATCTTTAATTTAGAAATAAAACAGCACTGCAATGACTTTTATTCAAAGAATGTTAATCCAATTTTGCTCTTGGGAGGGCAAACAATTAGGTGTGTGCGAGTTTGTGTGTGTGTGTGTGTGTGTGTGTGTGTGTGTGTGTGTGTGTGTGTGTGTGTGTGTGTGTGTGTGTGTGTGTAACTTACAAATTAGGCACACAGAATAGACAAGAGCACTTATTTGAAAAGGTTCTGTTAAAGCTAGTTATTGCTTGTCGTCAAGTCTCTATCCCCCTCGTGTTCTGTCAGCCCTCTGCTTTACACTATCTGATAAATGGTGAGTTTGTTAATGCTCCAATGTGCTGGACCATACAGGACTCATGTAGAGTTGAGTGGCTGAAGATTTGGCTGTGAAGCAGGTTGTCCAATATTTGTTGAGGTGTTAGTTCAAACCCATGCCAGCCACATGGCAAAGTACTCCTGAGCAAGACACTGATACCCACATTGCTCCCAATGTACACCATGTATGCGTGGGAATAACACTTAAACTGCCTTGTTGAGAAAAATGGTATGCCAAATGAATGTAATGTAATGCCGCTGTACTTACAACTTCACTGGAAGACTAGGCACACATTCAAGAAATAATCCATAGGATTTGACATGTAAGATCTTGCTTTCCTGGTTGGAGAAAGTAATACCAGAGCTCATAGCAAACGTAAATCTCTATACATTTGGGACTATATGTAAAGTCTGCATGCCAGTGCCATGGAGTAAAAATAAACGTCCACCTGTAATTAAGGTTGAGTCAAACTATTTAATGTCCACGACAAAAGTTAAACTGATTGATGGACCAGAATGCAGCCTACTGACGATCAGGACTGATGTTGGTAAAAAATTGAAGTTTTGTTTTTTCTTGTGTCTTTTTTTTTTGCATATCGTTTTCCGGTAGGGAAATCAGTGCACCTTTCTTGAAATGAAGTACCAGGGTTATATAAAGATATAACAGTAAAAGTTGTATTACTGTCATAATGCAAGTCTCGATAATCAGATGAGAGGATTCAGGTCTAGCTCCCGGAGTGCGGTGAATCGCTCGCAGATCTCACTGATGGATGATTCCCAGGAATGGTAGTCAAGCGCAGATCGGGAGAGAGACTAGTCGAACATGGCTCTCTCCAGAGGCTTGAGATGCTGTCAAAGGGTTTTCTCCTGGATACCTGTCCTTATAATAGCCGCCGTGATGTTGTGGTCATACTACGCCTACGTATTTGAGCTATGTCTTTGTAAGTATGACAGTCCGTTTGTTGTGTTTCTTAGTATTTCATTGTGTACATCGCAGATTGCCGCACAGCAGTGTTGACAACATTAAAAGCCAGAGCAGGAGCTAGCAAAATAGGCGGAAGTGGTTTACGGTGTGTGCCTTAACGTTATATGTAGCTATAAAACACAACGTGAATACTTTAATTGAATTTCTTATTGCCACCAAGAGGTTCGTGTTACAAAGACTGGCTGTTGCTGCGTCTCCTAGCTGCCTGTCAGTCGGGCTAGTCGAGTTAGCCGGTAAATCCTGTTCCTATTTTGAATTGTAAACTATTAGGGGCAATGTCAGGCAAAATGGTTGCTAATCTCTGGCACCCAGCTTCTGTTTTCTCATGCCATGTTCTTGTTTTTACAGTTACACTAACCAACACACTGGAGAAAGGTGAGTTACGTACACATGTTTGTGCTACAATCAATGTGCGCTGCTATAAAATACATGACGTGTATTGTATTGTACATTGTTGTGACTTGTTTGTGTTTGCAGTGGCCTATCTACTGGTATTTCATGTTTGCTTTGTGATGTTCTCCTGGACCTACTGGAAGTCCATTTTTACCCCTCCTGCCTCACCATGCAAAAAGGTATCCTGCCCAGTTAAAGCTGCCAGGCTGAACATCCAGCTAGGATTTATTTGACCATTTATCAAGTCTGTAATATAAATGTGATAATGATGCATGTTTGTTGCTTTAGTTTCAGCTGTCATACTCGGACAAGCAAAGATACGAATTTGAAGAGAGACCAGATGCTCAGAAACAAATCCTGGTTGAGATTGCAAAGAAACTGCCCATCTTCAGTCGAGCTCATTCTGGAGGTAACTTGCGCTTTCATTTAATTCACATTTTGTCTTCTGCAGTAATATCATTTCATATGGTATTAACCCCTTCTGTGCCGTATGTCAAAACAGGATTCACAAGGCAGGTATTTTAGGCACAGTCAGCTCGCAGATAATCTTGTGTGCGTTGAAAATAAGTAGTCTAGGGATCCAAAGTAATCAGCCAATGCATCTCTTTCATTAGTGCTGATTGCTAAGACTAAGTTGTAGACTACAGGAAGCAAGTGAAGGGTACTCTCCGCTCAAATGTCCTTCATTCAACTGGCCATCCTGTTGTCTCTAGCTATCAGGTTCTGCGACCGCTGCCAGGTTCTGAAGCCTGACCGCTGTCACCACTGCTCGGTTTGTGAAACGTAAGTCACTCTTTCCTCCTCAATTCATTCAACTAGAGAGATTACAAGAGGCAAGATTATATGTGTTGGCCGTGGACTGTGGTGGTAATTACAAGGTGTTGCTTTGTTGGCACACAATCTCTCAGAGAAAATATCCCGATGATCAATTACTGTAGATCAAATGTTTACCAAAAGGCATCAGTAAAGCAACAGAAAACTGGTGAAGAAGGTTGCATCAAAAGTATGATATTTATGATTTCGGACATTTTATTTAAACTGCAATGCTGTCAAAATGATATGCATTAAAACTATATTTTTCTTTCAAAGATGTGTATTGAAGATGGACCATCACTGTCCCTGGTAAGTAACTTTTGCCTGTATTTCCCTATTTTTGAGGAATGTATGTATCATTGTTTTGCTCTGACAGCATCATTTCTTTTTATTTTAGGGTGAACAACTGTGTGGGCTTTGCCAACTACAAGTTTTTCCTGCTTTTCCTGGCCTACTCCATGGTGTATTGTGTATTCATTGCAGCTACAGTCTTTCAGTATTTCCTTAAATTCTGGGTGGTGAGTGTCATAAGTCTAAATGATCACTGGTGATCATAATGGAGTCATATTACATACTTGTGTTGCACACAGTCAGCACTACTGCAATTCCACAGGAACAGATAACCAAGTGCATTGAGTAAAAGCTTTTTAAGCCCATTTTCTCCTGTTTCTCTCTTCCAGGGGGACTTGCCAAATGGACCTGCAAAGTTCCATGTCCTCTTCCTCATGTTTGTGGCGCTCATGTTCTTCGTCAGTCTCATGTTCCTCTTTGGCTACCACTGTTGGTTGGTCTCCAAGAACCGATCCACTTTAGGTGAGGATTAACGTATTTATTGGAGAATGGAACCCCTTTAGATCCTTCTCATGAAGCTGCTCTCATCATCTCATAAATGTAGGAGCTTTGTTCAAATAGATAATGGAGAATTTAAACCACTTTCTGATTATTTTTCCTTTTCTTAGAGGCTTTCACAGCTCCAGTTTTTGTCAGTGGACCAGACAGAAATGGCTTTAATGTTGGCATACGTAGAAACCTGCAGCAAGTGTTTGGAGAAGATCGAAGGCTGTGGTTCATCCCGGTTTTCACTGGGTGAGTTTGTTGGCATGAGGAAACAAGTTAGGTTGCATCATTAGTTTACTTACTGTTACTGTCATGTTTTGAATTTGAGCTATGAAAGAAATGTGCAGTAAAAATAAAATATAGTTATAGCGAACAATAATATCAAACAACATACAGGTAACTTTAGTTGAAATAATCAATTATATATTTGGATAGTTTATAGGAGGGATAATATGAATTAGTTGTAAAAACCACTTGGGATTCTGTGGAGAGTCAGTCCGCAGAATCAAAGTTGTTTTTACATGTAGCAGCATTTAATTTTCTAACATTTGGAGTGATGGCCACGGCTCCTAACTAACTTCTCTTTTCTTTTGCACACTGTAAACGTCAGCCAAGGGAACGGCCACTACTTCCCCTTGAAGAATCGCAGTTCTGAGTCCCGCAACCCCTTATTAGCTAATGAGGACCTGTGGGAGGAGTCTGATGATGGCTCTGAGGGAAGCCTGGGTGAGTCACTTTAACTTTGTCATATCATATTTCCACATTATCTTTCCAATTCCCAGAATACAAACTGCATTTTAAAATCCTAAAATTGATATCAGTCACTTTTTGCATTCATTGCGTGTACTGATGTTTTATATAATTTGAGTGTGTCAAGCTTTAGTAAATGTGCAAATATAACAAGTTATGCATCAAAAATGGTTTTCAAATGTTTCTACAGAAGTCTAAATAGTTATTCCCTGTAATGGCCAAAACTCAGCTTTCCAGTCACAGTAATGGGCACACGACTAAGTATTTCTGTATATAAGTCACCTTCCAGCACCTTCCATAAATCGTAAATAACACACACTTTGTCACCTTGGAGACATGATTGTTAAACAAACCAGAAACAAATATGTTTGTGCTCAAACTTGGAGGCCCAAATATTCCCCTGCACAGCAGTTTGCATTCCAACCAAACGGTTCTGCCCCACCTGGTGGTCACAGGCTATGTCGACTAGTGTATCCACGCTGAAATCTCTTCTTTTTTCTTCTTCTTTCATTCTAGTTGAGGACCATGACCCTTCTGTTACCATAGAGATGGAGGAATAGTAATGTAAAGTAAGGACAAAATACACTGGTACAGAGGATGTAGATTCATATCACACACACTGTGGCAAACGCATTCCATATAATGTGGACCTTCAGACACTGAACAAATCCTGAAGGAGGCCAAACGTGTGGATTAAAAGCTGCATTAGCATTGTTATTGCCACTTGTCCCCATGTGTTTTACATATTGATGAACAGATGAACTCAATGGACAACCAGTAGCGTCACCTCTCCTCTCAGCAGTACAACAGGATCAGTTTGGTTCAGACCAAAACTTGTCAAATATGACCTTGTATACAAAAAGACGGCTGTATTTATTACCATGGGTATATATATATATATATTTCCCTCTGGTTGTTCATCACAAAGCAATGGCCTCTGTGGGATTATAAATAAGTGTTAATTGGGGAGCTTCTGTCTAGCTCTGTACTGCTTTACATGCCTCTGTGTTATTGTTGGGTCGTGGGTTTACAGTGTCTGTGCTGGGTGGGTGGGGGGCTCTAACTTAACACCTATGATGCTGCAGAGGTCTCTTGTAGTGATTCAGTTGTCTGGCCTCTACCAGTTTGAGCTTTGCAGAATATTAACATGATATCTTACTTTTTTTTTTAATGCAAATATGAGTATTATATTACCTGACTTAACCCCCACCTTATTAATATATTCATTTTTGTTTACGAGAAAACTCATATTGTGCTTAAGTAGAGAATCTCAGCATTAATATTATTTGCTAAATATGCCATTATTGATGTCTGATCAGACTGGTAAGGGTATTGAAAACTAAACTACTGTATATTTGAAGTGTTAATTCACTGTTACAGCTCAATATGTATTATGGCAAACGTAATATGTTCAAAATTCTTAAGTGGGGTCCATATACCGTGTATCATTGCTTAAATTATGTTGGATACATTGCTCTAAAGAAATCGAGTGATGGGTTTGAGCATACAAAAACAAACTGATAGACTTTTTTATTTAAAAACAATCATCACAATCTTTATACCATACCAGCCTTCCCTAGTGCAGTAACACTTCTGTGTGGAAGTTATAGGAAAGTGAAATTAACTTTCACCATGGGTACAAAATAATTTATAGGTTCTATGTCTGCTTGGACTTTTGATCTCTTGAAACATGCAGATAAGTGTACATATATATATATAACGACTGGTCCTCCTCCACTGGTTGGTAGAGGAACGCGATCTTCTGCAATGTGATGTTCCAAATGGTTTTCTACCTGCGTTAATGTATTTTGACATTTTAATAGTAATGGAACAGATCCTCCTGGTGGAAACTGTTGGTTTATGGTATTTATTGTGTATTTATATTTAGCCAGCAAACTTAGTTAAAAAAACTTCTGTTAGTGAGTACGTCCATTTTAGTACCATTCAAAAGTTTGGCCTTTATCAAACCTTGATACTGTTTGATCTTGACACTTTAACTTGCTTCACTACTATGTTGGGAAAGCCAAATAAAATGCTGCTCATATCTGAGAAATTCATAATATAACATACATTATGAGGTACAACTCATTGTCTGAAAGCATGTATAAACTCTAGGAAAGATGTGGATGTTGAGTGTTTCATGTCGTCTCGTGTCTATTTATTATAATCTTCAGTTTCTCTTCCTGTGTATTGAGTTTACTGATTCTTTACTGCGGCAGGCAGTGTCTGCATATGTTGCACCATCAAGTGACTCTTAAAATAAACTATTGAAGCAATTTGCTTTTATCAAATAGTAGGATACGTGGTATTTATAAGATGACAAATGATACGCAGTTTGCAGACAGTTCAATACTTCTAGCGCAGATGCAGTGTGGTCCCTTTTATATCTTTATTTTGTATAGTATGTGATTGTGGTGCTTCCTTATTTCAACACCTCTAAACCATTGAAAGTACTGAAACTGTTTCATTTGCTGTTCTGTCTTTTAACAAATATAAATTATTTATTTTCCATCGGTTGTTGTAACATGCAAAATAAAATGATCCAAGCTGAACTCTTTATACAGTTCACTGATGTTCTCTTTCTTTAGCATGAGGATACACAGCAAGAAAAAAAAGCAACAGTAATAAATACAGTTGCTCAGATTAATAATTTTGTATCAGTTTAGGAACTTTGGAGATAGAGTAGCATTATTTGGCACAACAAGGAGAACATGAGAAACATTTAAATAAACAAGACAAAATATACTCAAAACAATTTGTAGGTCATGTTCCTCATATTGTCCCCGGTTCAGTCGGTGCCAAAGTACCTCTGGCCAAAATGTGTCGGCGCCACCGGGTGGACCTCCGTGGTCAAGATGGTGATATCAGGGAACTCCTGGATTATAGATTTGGCTCCTAAGAAAAAAAAGTAAAATGTATTGCATTAATACAAGACAAACCTGAGAAACTAACAGCCGAGGTCAAACTTCTACTTTTCTTTTTTGGGCCAGAGTAGCTTTTATTTTAGAGTGACGGTGTTGAAAGGGGGAGACAGAGGGGAGGACAAGCAAAAATGCATTTACCATTTATTTGTAGCCAGAGGACTAATCCTAACTTTTGAGATTTCCTCAAATGCTGCACAGCATTGCCAAATGTATTTAAATTGATATTAAAATGCTGTAAATGTCATAACGAGCAAAGAGAATTGCCCAAAAACATTGTACCCTGAGCCACAGCTAGCAGTATGGTTCACACAACAGGTCTCTCATAAAACAAAACAAGGTTGCCTATTTTTCAGCAGCTCCTAAACATTGAATAAGACTCCTAAAAACACATTTGCAGTTAGTCTGAAAACATATTCGACTAGGGAATCATATCTGAGTATAAAAATAAATAATTCTAAAGGTCATTGCTCCAATTCCTTACATTACCCTCTCAGTATATTAACAGTAGGATTGGCTAATATGTTATGTTAACATGCACTTCTTTCTTTGTGTGTATATTTTGGCCTTATGTAGAACCAAAGCTCACAAGGGTTAAACATAACAAAATGTCCTGAAAACGACATATCCACATTAAATGCCATTATAATCAGGCAAGTAGTCATTGGGGAGAACTACCGCTAGACCTATTTGTGGTCTAATTTAAAAAAGATCTGCTGCTCTGCTCGCTCATACGGCTGCGTCAGATCAGCAGTGCCACCAAACTGCATTGTGGTTACCAGCAGTATAATGATGCAGCAGGAGAGAAGGATGGAGGAAAAACTGTGTGTGATCTGGTGGGTAAACAAAAGTAAATTGATGGTAAGCTGCAGTTGCAGTGAACTGGCAGTGGTGGCATACCATGAGGCGTGGAGAAAAGGCTGAGGAGGATAATATGTCTGGGCTGGACTCCGTGCTCGATCAGCACTCTCACCGCCTCGATCACAGTGTTGCCGGTACCTGCAGACACAGAAAATGTAGGGTTTAACGGCGGCGGATATTCAAATGTTTACAATGTCATTTTAGTTTCAGAAAAATGTTAAAATTGAAGCTAACACAATGTAATGTTATTGCTATTTTTGTGTGCACTTCTTATTTTATAACCACCAGCAGGGGAGGGGGTTTTGTCCTGTATTTTGAAATTGACAAATATAAAAATAACTTGGTATTAAATACAAAAGACTCTCTAAATTGAAACATGCTCGATCGATCAACTGTACATTGTATCTGTATCATAATGCCACATAACATAAAAAGAAGGACAAGAACAAAACTAGGGGGCTTCTCCCAAGTACAGCACTTGTACATACAATGAATAAACACAATTAAAAACGTCAACATATACAGTAAACAATGTTTGATTGTGTAAGGGTTAGAATCTGGCTGTTGGCAAGTAATCTCCTCTCTAGGTACTGAGTCTGAGCACTATGCAGCATTTCATTCCTGACCCTGTTATCTGCATCAGTGTAACCATATGTTCTGACATAATAAAAGACACATTCAACCTGGATTAGTGGCCATTATTTTAGCATAAAAATGCTGCTTTCTGACATTGGGAAACCAGGGCTATTAAGATCCTATTTTTGTTGGCTCTCATTATGCTATTCAGCAGCTTGGTGGCTATCTCCCAGGCAGTGTATAATTTCTCCCGTAAGAGCTATAATTATCAGAACAGTGTGAATGGGCTGGTATGATGTGGAAATGCAGAGACTTGCCGGTGAAGGTCAACCCGAGGGAGATTTCTCAAAATGAATAAATACATGAAACCGTTTTTACATTTGCACAAAAATGGACATCTCTTGACATTTATGTGCTGCTGAGGGCGGTTAACGGGAGTCATCATCAGTGAGATGAACTGCACTCAGCCCTGTGTTACTTACTAAGGATAGGGTACATGAGCAGCACTTTTCTTCTGTACACATCAGGGGGGAACTTGGCATAGAAGACCTTGGCTTTCTGTGTCTCCTCATCACTCTGGATGAGGATCTTGCCAATGCGGATGGAGCGGCAGCAGTCCCGGAGACCCTGCTCCATGGCCTCACCTGTGGGGAGACACACAATGCATCTTGCTCAGAGGATGTTGTTCATTTTGATGAATTTATTTATTTAGAGCCAGGGGGCCAGCATTAATTTCACAATATGTGATGTGTGTATAACCCAAGTCCAACTCAATTTTGAAGGCCCTCTTTTCATAATACTGTATGAAATCACAATACTTACAGAAGTGCAGATTTCACTCCGTTCATCTCGGCTCTGCAAGTGCGATTGTCAAGTAGGCAAAATGAACAACACTGATGAAAATCAAAAATGTGTCTAAATTGTGTATGTCTCACAAACTACACTGTGTGCTTATGTCTCTACAAAAATGCACAGTAAAATGAAAGGACAATGTAAAAAAATACATTAAAATGCACCTTTAAAAACATTATTTACATCAATGCGTGCTGCCTATAAAGAAGAAAAAAGCACAGTAGCCGTAAGTTCCTATTTTTCTAGAATGCTGTTAAAAAAAATAGGACATCCTGTATTCTGATTCGTAATTAAGTATGAATGTTGACGTGTCAAGATGCCAGCGCTGTGTAGACTAGATAGAAAACAATAGGTGCATGTGTTTCGATCTGCGTCATACACTGCTAATGTGCGTTGCCTGAAAGATTTAACTAAAATAATTGTCCAACCCTTATATTTTATATATTTCTGCCCTAGAATTACTTTCATAAAAGGATAGTCGGCACAAATCACATATGCATGGAAGACATGATAGATGCACCTACAAAGGAGGGGCTGTAATTTTGGTGGATGTGACACAACAGGTGTAACTTACCACTCCTCATTATGCTGACTCCACAGTTGCCTCTTTCAAACTTGACACCTTCATACTTGTACCCTGAGGGGGAAAATGAAATGGGAACATTCACAAATGTAGCCGATCTGAATAAGCCTGGTAGTCACACAGGCTAGAGGTAAAACACAGGAAGTGAGCCCACTTATTTTTTGAATTGTTATAATTATAATTGGATAGCTTTTACATGGATTAATAGAAGTGTCGGAGCTCAGATTCTGTGTCTGAACTTGAAATCTAGATGTTAACTTTGTTATGAGAGAAAGAGACCCTCACCTGTTGGCGTGGTCACAGTGCACTCCGAGTAGGGGAGCTGATTCAAACCCTCTTCAACTACTAGTCTGATCTGTTATTTGAAGAAGAAAAAGCTCAGAGCTTGCAGCTTATACACATTAAATATGGTGTATTAAGTCCCAAGCTTACCAGTCGATCAGCACAAAACACAAAGTCTCCTCTGCTGGTTGTCCTGAAAATGAAAATATAAATACTTAGTTGCAAACTAAGTACTCAATGTAGTTTTTTACTATAAACGCACCAAACCTACTTTATCCCATCCTCATATGATACATACATGTATGCATTTGTACTGTGTACTGATCCTATCTCACTGAGCTCGTCCAAAATAAATACTTAACCTCACTGTGTGGAAGTTATTGGGATCATTTTTCCACCCTGTCTTGAGGTTTATTCATAATATAATACATTAACAAGAACATCCATAACATTCACCTGTTTGCAACTTACAAATTATTTATCACTTGTATATAGACTCTTATGGCACTACTTCCATTCTATTGTATTTACTTGCACTATTTTTTTCAGTTTGATTGTGTTGCACTGTTGGTGGAGCCTGTGACCTAAGATTTTCATCGACATAACAATGTAGTTATGTACGAAATATGACAATAAAAGCCTTGAACCTTGATTTATCTATTTTTTTCCAAAAATCATCCTATCATATTTGGTGTTCATGTGTTAATGGAATTGATTCAGCTGCGGTTTTTATGACTTATATGTGCATGCTACAAATATTGATCCTTTTTTAAACGTGATGTGTATCATTATTATTGTGTGTGAGTTTATTTTGCAACTTATGTCACTTATATTTTTCAAATCCAATTCCCAATCTTATTTGAACTATGTCATGTCCATTATTTGTAAAGCACTTCAGGGCTGCATTTAAAGTAGGAACAAATGGCAATACAAAAAAGTGGAGCATAATAATATTTTGACTTTCTACCACAACAGATTTGCTGTGGTCTGTACTTTGGTTAAGATAGGAGTAGGGACTCACTTGTCTCTGATTATGGTCTGTAACTCCCGGATCTGGTCATTGAGAGGGAGCAGTTTGAGCTGAGGTCCCACAGTGTCCTGGCTGCCGTCAGTCTGTATGCTGCTGCCATCAGAGGCTTCAGAGGTGGGCAGCACACTACTGCTGCTGCTGTTGTTTGCAAATCGCACTTGCTTCATTGGGTGCTCCTGACCACTGTTGACATTGTTCAGCTGTTGATTGTGGCAGGGCATCCTGAGTGCGAGATCAAGGGGTTTCCTTTCCTAAAATGTGATACAGTTAAATACCGATTCTTGACCGAGTGACCCAGTTTAACCGCTGTGTGCGAGACAAAGAAGACAACGTGCTGTTTTGAAGTAAAACTATCCGAGTCACGCAGCTACCGCGTAGACTGACCTTTAGCAGCACATTCACCAACCTTTTAGATACTCAATCCCGTCGTGTCAACATTAAAGTAGCGGCAGAGAAGTCCTCAAAATGTAACGTAGAGTGGACTAAAGCTGCTTGTCCGCTAGCACACTGACAGGGTTGGTGGAAACCGGATATGACGTATCCGGCGTGTAAACTAACCGCCTTCCTCCTTCGGCAGCAACATGGCGCCGATGTTGGTAACACTGAAATGCGGCGTTTACTTTAAAAGACAGCAGTTAGCGCTTCTCCTTCGACAGACAAGCTCATATCACATTTGGAATAAAAGTCACAGGGAAACGGTGACGGACCCTAAACGCCAAAGCACATATCTGGTGAGTAAAGGGGGGGTGAGGTGGCTGGAGAGGACACTGTGTTTTTGGTTGACAGTCACCACGCAAGGGCAGCGATGGAAAGTGTTTCTAATTTAGTTTAAAGGAAGTTAAAATAGATAATTTAGACAGTTTATTTACAAGAAATGTCGATGTCATTTACGATTGTATAGTCAACAAGATGCTAACAGCTAGCTAGCTGGCTAACTTACTTGTTACTATCTGTGTTAACATTAGCTTTAGTGAATGGTTAACGTTACAGTAAGGTCTGCACTTTGTCCCTTACATTTAACCTAATACCAATAAGTTAACAGTGTATCATAACTCCTATCTGCTTAAACATATCAACGTTTACCAAGCCAATGAGGCTGTCAGTGGACTCAGTCACGTGTTATAAGAGTCAGTAAATGTTAGATAAGACTGTCTGTTTGTAGCTGATGTGATAACTGTGTCATCACGTGTTAACAGTCTGTTATTGATTGTATCAGAACTTTAGTTTTCAGCAACCCAGCTGCCACTTTTTTGTGTGTAGAACTTGGTCAAACATAACACCCCAGCCATATTTACTACCTGTAAGGTTTTAATGTTTAGTCTTTCTTGAAACTCAAAATGGTAATCTTTTTATAGTATTTTAAAAGGAGGTAGTTTTAGCAAGGCTGTTGAATTGTGTTGCATTGTTTCACTAGGTGTTTTCATCCATTTGTATATAGTGTCTTTATACTTTACATTGTACTCTTATATTTTATTCTTTTTCGTATTTCTTGCACACTCAATGTTAATAATATCCTACTTTTTAAATGTGGTTAGCTGTAAGTTGGCCCTTCATAGTGTATATCTTGACATATAGTCTTCAGATATATATCTTTCACTGTCAATATGTACATATTTTACTTTTTAGTTTGGTTTATTTTCTATTTTCAGATGTTTCTATTTATGTTTATTTTCTCTTTTTCATTTGCACATTATGTGCATTGCCTTGTTTACATGCTGCTGTGATGAAAACATTTACCAAATTGGGATAAATAAAGTAATTCTTATATTATCTTAATTTACACATTGCATGAGTTCTAGCTTGGTGCACTTAATAATCTGACGAGTGAGAGTATTTTATCTAGATAATATAGGTTTCCTTAGAAGTTATCACGCTACTCAGCTGGAGCGTTATAGTTTACAAAAAGTAAACTCATTTACAATTAATGTATGAAATAATTTGTGTGAAGTTTATATAAGTTAATAAATATGTAGAATGACCACATAACAAATGATGCAGCTTTTCTGGGATAAGTTGTGTGTAACTTTTAATAGTATGACATATCGTCATAAATGAGAGGATTGATGTGGTGTCCCTCCAGGAGACCCATCCATCTTATATTGGTTATTTTCTTTCAACCAATTGTCTTTGTATGAATTAAGGTCTAACACAGGTTGAGTGTATGTTCAGTAAGCCAATTTTAAACCACACCCACTTTAAATCTTGCATTATCCAACTCTCTGCCTCTGTAGGCGTGTTAGTTGTTTTCTTCCCTCTTAAATGGTGACTGTGTTTAAATTAGGGCTGCTCCATTATGGCAAAAATCATAATCTCGATTATTTGGGTGAATAATTGATATCACGATTATTAAAAACGATTATCCATTTACTTTGAAAACATCAATTTATTGGAGATTTTTTTTTTGAACAGTATGTTTTTAACAGTTGATTACCCTGAACTTTAAGTTTAATTCAACTGAAAAACCTATAAAAAAATCTTTCATTTGAAGAAAAAAGAAAGTAATAATAAAAACATAATCGTTGTTTTCGTAATCGTTGCAAGCCATAATCGTAATTGCGATTTAAAATACGATTAATTGAGCAGCCCTAGTTTAAATTGAGTTACACAGGCTCAAAAACTATTTCTGAACATCACATCTTTATCGTCTTTGACGGAAAGGTAATGGCAATGATTAGTGTATGTCGTATCGGAATTGAATGTGTTGTTTTTTTGTCTATATATTTTGTTTTATTAATAACCTCTTTGTGTTGCATTTGTTCTGGTGTTCCTTATTGTGTTTCAGAGAATTTAAACCCCCATACAAATGTATCAGCAGAAATGAGAAACATTAGTCGAATAAGACTCATGTGTTTCTCATATGTTTCAGCTGAGTTCCACCCCCCACCTACGGACAGCAACATGGAGTACAAACAGGGGGGAGAACAGTCGTCAGATTTTGGAGGCAGTAAAAGTAAGTGTGCTTTTGATTAATTACTGTGAATCATGTTTTTTTTCCAAATGAAAAGTAGACTAACAACAACGCATGTTTCCACAGCATTTGCAGATAACCGACAAAAGATCATGTTGGCACGGAAGTGCAGGAGGAAAGCTAAATGCAGATCCCAAAAATGTGGTGAGTACATTACCTTCTTTGAGCATTCAAACTTAAGGACCAATGTTGTGTTTGCACATCACATGTTAATTTAAAACAATACACATTTATAACAACTGTAATAAAGGTAGACTAAGAGGCTTTTATTATACATTAACTGGTCTCCACATGTGGTACAGGGACCTCAGTTGTGACTTCAACTGTTAATGTTAATCCTCTCTTTGCAATGTCACCTACTGCTTCATTGTATTTGATTAAAGGCAGGTGTTGGGCACAATGTCTCTGTAATTTGCTTGGAGGCTTTGCCATACAGCAGTGTGGTAACATGGTGCCACCATATTGAGTGGATTAGAGGAATTACTGCATATTTTTTGGCCTGCGTAGAGTCCCAGTGGCAGGTGTGTGGTGGAGCGTGTGTAAACAGCCATGTTGGCACCAGTGGACTCTCAAAACTCAGCTGGAATGACAACCCAGGTGTCTCCTGGGACTTGTAGTGTCAGGCTGGACCCCCAGGTCCACCTGGAGACACTGCTGTTGTTGCTGCTCCTAAAACTCCCAAGAGACACCCATTGACATTTGATGTTCCGTGTGTCTGCCCAGAGAGCCATCTTGAGGTTATTATGATTGTCACGCTGAAAATCAAATGCAAGTTAGTTGCCAATATTGGGGATCAGTGTTGGGTAGAAAACTATTACCGTTACTAAAATACAATTGCTATCTCCCAGGACATACTGTAAGGGTAATTCAGGTATTCTGATCGAAGTGTTTTTTTGTTTTGTTTTGTCCACAGCTGAAGGAAGTGAATTCAGCCAAGATCCTGTCTGCAATGATGTCTTATGTGTGGCCAAAGAATAGACCGGACCTGCGGGCCCGTGTTGCCATCTCTCTCTGCCTGCTCGCTGGAGCCAAGGTAAGTTAACAGGCAGTTTCTTGAGTATTAAAGGGGGATGATTACTATCCTACTTATTATTTATCATATAAAGCTAATTTGATCGGCGATGAGCAATGTTTCTTATGAATCCCTTACAACTAATGATATTTCTATGTAAACGTCAGCCTCTTAACATTAAGGAAGAGGCTCAAGTTATTTTTTACGTACTGAGTCTTACTTCTTCCTTCAGCTTTGTTTATGTCTCACACCATAACGTAAAGCCTATAGACTGAAGCAATATGGTTTTACAAGATATACTTTATGACAAGCTTTTCACAGGTCAGACTTCAATGTTCTCCTCTCTTTCTTAAAATACAGCAAACACATAAAAGTAAGACTCATTAATTTAATATACTTTCAGGGTTTCCCACACATTGTTTTTTTCGTCCGCGACCACGAGGCCATCTGCGATCGATTAACTTGTGGACAATGATCCCTCGCTCTACACCTCCTGTACCCAGTCCCGGACTGGCCCTCGGGAGGACTGGGGGGTTTCCCGATGGCCTGGCCTGTTAAGTGGCCTGCCTCACACAGGGTGACTGGCTGTCCACATGATGTGGCCTGCCGACATGGCCACTGTCATACAGATCATAAATCAAAGCCCTTGATTGGTCTCTGTGTGTCATTCAAGCTCGGGATAACCTCAGCTCAGGTGAGGTAAAGGTCTCTCTTGAGTGTTTAGATAGTTCACTTAGTCTAAGTTCTCAGTGGGTCTCAAACGGTTTGTTTATGTAAACACATATTTCCATTTGAGGGGGTAGTGATTAGTAAAAAAAAAAGTTAACTAGGTGAAAAAAGGTAAGATACACTTTAAAAACTTGTTGAGAGCTAAAACTAGTCTCAAAGAGGAGCAGGGGGGAGAGGAGGGAGACAGGAGAGGCTGATTCAGGAGCCCAGACACACTCCCAACTATAAATGAAAAATAAATAAACAAGTTTCAGTGTTTTTTCATATTAGAAATGGGATGTTATTGGTTATGGGCATGATTTTATGATTATTGAAATGTATACAGTTCTGTTTAATATAGGTGTTCCCATAGATCTAGTCTCTTTATTTCCCCCTCAAAATGCACCAGATTGATGCATTTAACTCCAAAATATTAAAAACAAATCTTACCGGGCGAGCATGCCCCCGGACCCCCCAAGAGGATTTGTGGTCCACCCCCACTTAAAATCACATTGATAGGTTCCTAAATACATTTACAATTTTTTTTAAATAGTAACACATGTCCATATGTTTATTTGTGAGTAGTAGATTTAAACTATAGGGCTATCACTATGGGCCCTGCCTGTACCTGTTCGCCCATCGCGTGAAGGGTCTGCTAACAAGCAACCAACAGAAAGGTTAATGTTAATGTTGTTGCACGTCACAAAGGCACGTTACCCCCTCCCCCCATCCACGCTACCACACCCAAGTATATTTCAGATCTGTGGGAAACACTGACTTTGGATTACATTGGTTAGGCCTTACAACAAAGCAGGCTAATGTCATAATTCAGAGGGTACATTATTTCACTCTCTATAGCCATACGGAACAGGTCTACATTTGTAAAGGATATCACTAGTAAGGGCTGTGAATTCTCTCCCAAGGTATATGTGCTGGGTGATCCATTATCTTTGACGAAATTATCCAAAATGCCATAATGGTTGATAGACAGACATTATTGAGGTGTTGGGAAAAGCCAGTAGCTTTCTCCTGTCAGGAGCGGTTGGTAGAAACTGAAAAAGGGGCCTTATATGAAAAATATTTCTATAAAAAGACTATAGAAAGATTATATCTTGAAATGGAAAAAATATCATATATATACCCATAAATCATGCTGTATTCAATATATGTATGTTTACCTTTAATACCAAGTATCTTTGTTTCACTATTTTCCTTATTTTTTCTTTATCTAAAACTATTATAAGCATTATTAATTTATATTATATTAGTTATTGTTTTTCAATACTGTGCTGAATGTTTAAATTAGAAAAATGGCAAAAACTTTCATCAAGTCATAAATAAAGTAGATACTTAATTAATGTTTGAAGTACATGTTTGATTAAGACTATTTAAATAATAAAAGAGCTAAGGCAAGAGAAAAACTGCAAATACCGTACAGTACCTCAGATCATGATCAGATCACAGATATAAAAGGATTATGAAAAAATAAGAGAGCAAAGACAATCACACCTTTTCAAAAATAGACTGAAGCAGGCCTTCCTTTTCATAGTGGAACGGTACATTGCAATGAAAGAGAGAAGGGACAATTTCAAGGTGGTTGCTGACGTCAGTTAAAAGTCAATTATTGAGTGTAAGAGTTCCATCTTTTAAGCTCTTGAAGCGAATAATTTTCTTGAAGTTTCATCAAGAAAATAATGCCTGCGTTCAACAAAGAAGTCTTTATCGGCATAACACATTTCTGCATCACTGACTCGTTCTAAGAGAAGGCTGCAGCATCACTCTAGCTCAGGCAAACATCTTGTCTGGATTTATTATTTGTCTGTCGTTGTAGTTTGTAGCTGCTCGACACAGGATTGATAGGAAAATAGTTTTCATGTCATGACCTACAGTATTAATTGTTGAGGAAAAATAATCCTTGACGGGGAAAAGCAAACAACGACAAAAGACACTCACATTTCTTCTCCAGTTTATACAATGTTTCCAACATTTATCTTATCATTAAAAAATGATAGTAGATGGTACATTTGAGGTTTAACAAGTCACATCAGAAATACACTCAGTTATCTGGTCTTCCAGCATTTGCATTAAAGTTTACTTCTATTTTCAGCACCTTTATCCTATTTCTAAGCATGACCTTTGAAACACTCAAATGCCCAAATGACTATCGGTATCATATCTCATGTCAATAAATGTCAACGGACAATTTATTCAGGTAGGGGAGGATTTGTGATCACGGCTCATAAAAGGCATATTGTATTATTCTAGGAAATTCTATAAAAGACTAGCCAATGTTTCTCTTAAGAAAAACCAGAAGGCTCGCACATATCATTTGTTTGTTGTGATTTCTGGTTTCTTAACTGCTGTACTCGTTGCTGAGTCCTTAAGGATGAACCATCGCCCTTTATCATGGCTTCTCAAACTGCTTACGTCAGCTTGTTTTTCTTAAAAAGGTTAATCACTTGAAAATTGCATTTAAAATATGTTGCTGTCGAAGTGTAAAGGCCCGGACACACCAATCTGACAAAGAACTGACACAGACGGACCCCGACTGTTGCGTCGCCTCGCATCTCTGCGTTTTGGCCATGTGTCACACTGGAACACACCGCAAAGACTTCAGCCGACGGCCAAGAAGCACGTACGAACTGCGCATGCGTGAGTGGCAACAACTCTCCTTACCAGCAGGTGGCGGTAGTGTGTATTCGTCATTCAAAATAGGCAACAACCGGAAGACCGACTGCGTGATACACCGAGAGAAGAAGAACAGACTGTAATATAGGCTGCTTCTCAGGTCGACTATTTTCATTTCCTCGCTCCTCGGTCCTCGGTCTCACCGGAAGTTGATTTGCCTGCGCCATCTTGAGTACCGTCCCATGGCTCTTATTTCTGCCGGAGGACCGAGGAGCGATCATGGAGGAGCGATCATGGAGGAGCGATAACCGAGGAACCACCAGACCATCCTCCGATGAAATCCTCAGATACTCACCCCGCCCCCTTACTGTGTATCGCTCACTGATTGGACGAGGCAGTGCATGCACTGATCTGATGCTTCTTGACATGAGAGCAGAGTGAAGAAAATACATGAACCTCACGGGAGTCACTCCTCAGTTTATACCGTGTTTTGTTTCAAATAATGTGGAAATAACGGGGACAGAGCTGCTGTCAGACGATCAGCTGTGCAGCGTCATCACAAACGGACGTCGCTTCACGTGACGCTCCGGAGGAAAGGACGTCCCATTGCTCTTAAAACTCATTTCCCTGCTTCTCGTGGTTTCCTTGCGTCCCTCCATGCTTCCCTGGTGGGAGGGACTAAACGCAGGGAAACGACGCAAGTGAGGGAAGCAAAGATTTCATTTAATCGACCTGAGAAGCAGCCATGGAGTGGTGAAGTCCCTCCCATTCCGGGGGACCTCCATGGGACCTTATTTCGGAAAAATTATGTATTGAAGTCAATGGAGAGAGAAAGATTATCTTTTGATTCCGTTTGAATTGTGCCACGAATTACACATATGATGTTTGTCAATTTAAAAGATATTTTTGTAAGTCAAAATAATAAAAATGTGTCGTAAAACTGTGAAGTTACACATTTGTTTGTGTGAAACGCTCAATGAACTACATCTCCGTCACGTTAGCACATTTCGCCTCTTTCTTTCAGAATGAAGTGAAAAGTATTAAAAGAGGTGAAAATCACTCCAAGTCTGGCCATGTTGAGAACTGTACATACACACAAGGGGAGTTAGTCGGTTCCGTAAGAACCAGCATGCGGGACCGGCTATACAAGGTTTCAGTGAGTAACGTTAATGTACGCGACTCTGGGATTTGTAGTCTTTCTAGTTGCGTATTTTTCATAGTCTTATATTTCAACAGTTTTACGACAAACTGACTTTTTTGACATGGAAATTATTATTTAAGATTGACAAACATCATATGTGTAATTCATGGCACAATTCAAACGGGATCGAAAGATACGTTTTCTCTCTCCATTGACTTCAATACATAATTTTTCATAAATAAGGTCCCATGGGGCGGAAGTAGAAGGGCGTGACTTCACCACTCTATAAACAAACAACAAATAGCGTGTGCGTTCCATTTTCACTCTACAACGAGAAGCTCATGGGGCTTTCTCGAACCTGTGTCGAGAGCTGGAGTTAAATGAAATATCAGATTTGCCTTCTTAATAGTTTGTTTGGGTCCCTCACTTCCGTTTCGCTTCTCATGCACTGATTCGCTAGCTGAACAGCCAATCAGTGATTTATTTCGCAGACTGCCTTTGGACGTTTTCGGCCGAAAAGGCGTCAGCCCGGGTGAAAAGACCTGACTGTGCGGGACACACCAATCTGAGTAGGGCGTGTCGACGCTCATCGTCGGCCTGGCGCCCACCGACACCGATAATCGGCCTGGTGTGTCCGTGCCTTTACTGTCACAAGTCAATGTGTAATACCATCTCAATACAGACTGATGGCAAAACACAGCAAAGCATTGGTCTAACAGGTTGTTACACGGTGTACATAACCCATTTATTACTATACTAGATGCAGTATGCTTTTAAAATAACCTTTTATATAATGAATTGCATTCACTGCAGCAATCAGTGCACAATGTATTTCCTCTTTCTTTGTTGATGGTCTCTAATTTACACCCTGGAAAACAATCACACATTCACAGCTACCTAAATAAGCATGTACTGCTGCCTCTCAGCATGTCTAATAAGTGTGTGTGCTAAGGGGGCAGAGAACACACACGTGCATTCCAATCTTCTCCTCCTATTTCCCTGCTTGGCTGGAGTTAGCCTCGATTTCTGCCGTTTGTCTGTTTGAACTGAAACCCCCAGCAGTGTGGAGACAATTTTTAAATCAACTGAATAATTATGTGGTTACAGTGCAGCACACCTCTGCACTCCGCAGTATCAGTGACATTTTCATTTCAAATTCTATTATATAGTAGCTCTTGTTTTCGTTGGCCTCAAATGAAGCCCGCTCTGTCTGTGTGCCGGCGTGTCATACTGAAAGCTAAGGCTAATTCTTCCGTAACCTGAAGCTTTTCTCCACTACTTGACACTATATATTTAATATGAGATGACATATTGCTAGGTACAGATCGACCTACAGTTGATTTAATCTCCTGTTGGTCGTTAATGGTTTAAAAGAGCACGGCACTCTGTATCATGTATTAGTGCTGAAATTGAGGACATGTTTTGGCCCCATGATAATAGGCCCGGGCTATTTCTGTGGCATGTTCTGTTGTCTTGGTAGCAAAGATATTGTTTTTCCTTGAGGGGGTCAAAGGACTTCTTTGTCTGATACCCATAATAACCCATTATAAGTGTATACAGGGAGACCCTGGGGATAGCTTTTGCAGTAATGGTGCATTGTTAGGTGTCCTTTTACATCCGCAGGGTCAACATAGGTTAGTTTTTGACACTATATTTATAGTTTTTATACTTATATATATGTTTTTAATTATGTAATTGCTATAATGGCAAAATTATAATGTGCAGAATAGGGGTAAAAGAACAAAAAAAAGCCTTCCCTTGTGAAGAGGTAGATGGATTCAAAAGAAATAGGTTTCAAATGGAAATACTCTGCTGTGTGCTGCTGTGTTCTCTGGCTGTCCTAATGCGCAGCGGACCGCCTTCGCCTGAGTCACACAGCTGTCCCTGTGCTTTTAATTAGCCATAATAACCATTTCAATTCCATTAGCAGGAAGCGCCAGCTACCTCATCAGCACCAGCACAGCATGCTACACCCTGCATACAGCCATTCATATACATCCGTGAATGCACCTGGATGGATTTACTGCCTAGCAATAGTGGAGATCCGTCTTTCTACCCACGCCGGGTGCACAGAATGGCTGCAAACAATGATAATGTTCAATATTAATAATGTGCCAATTCTTTTCTCTAGAGATGAATCTATCAATTCGTCTATAAAATGTCAGATAATAGGGTAAAATGTCTATCGCGGATTCTCAAAGTGCAAGGCGATGTTTTTTGTTATTGTCTTGTAATGTCAGTCTAAGACTCAAAGATATTCAGTTTAATATCAATAGATATAAAACAATAAAAGCAGAGAATTTCCAAATGTGAGATTTTCAGCTTTTGTTTCATGAAAAATTACTTAAATTACTATTTGATTTTCAAAATCTTATCTTATACATACAAACAATGAATAGACCACTGCAGCATTATCAGTTTCTGTTGTTTTTTATTTAAAGGTATGTGGGTATAAAATTATCCTTTAAAAAAAAAAAAAAACTACTGACAACATTTCTCTTTGTTGGAATTCAACAGACCTTGGAATGGAATGGCTGCCATACATGTAGAGTTTGAGATTTAAGAAAAAATTGGAGTGTTCTCTTAATTTTTATCCAGAGCTGTACATGCATACAGAGGTTGTACAGAGGACTAGAGATAGACAAATATAGAGCATATGTCTGTGTAATGGGCTATTTGAAACTACTTCCCCTCTCTTTATTCTCCTCCTCTCTGAATGTTCCCTCCCTCCCTCTCTGCTTCCCCAGATGACCAATGTGACCGTGCCCTTCATGTTTAAGTATGCAGTGGACGAGCTTAACCAGATGTCGGGACACGCGCTGAACCTGAATGACGCGCCAAGCACTGTGGCTACCATGGCAACGGCCATGCTGATTGGCTGTGAGTCCCAGGCTTGTATTTCACTGGCAGGTGCCGCACTCATCAGAGGGGACTGTGGGACTGCCTATTATCTGCAGGCTGACCTTTCCCAAAACATTCATATCAATGCCGATCCGCAGCCCCCGCCTCTCCCTCAGATTATTTACATGATGTGCTCCGTTCTGCGCCTGAGTTCACTTCTATCATCCACGCGGCCCTCTTGTGAGCGCTGACGACTGTGCACTATATCTGCGTGCTCCCAAGGCAAACCGAGCTCAATGCATTTCTAAAGCAGTGGGGTTGAAATTGCTAATGTCCTTTTTTAAAGTGGTTGGATATGTTTTAGTGTTTTACAAGGCTGTTTCTTTTACTTCATCCCTTCAGAGCACTATTATTTTTTCATCTCTCTGTCCACTAGGCACCTCTGAATACAAGACGGGTCAGGGGTGAAATGTGTCTTGGAGTATTAGTTTTCTCTGAGCTCCTGATGCATACAAAAAACAAAAACAAACAAATATTGTGAACCTGACACCCACTGAAAGTCACACTGGCCTTGAGTGAGATCAGCTTGGATGCAATGTACACTCGGCCCTGTAGCCACTTATTTTAATGAGCCCACTTAGGTGTTGCACACTAATGCTGCCTGTCGAATAATTGGAGCACATGAACAGGACTCCAGACAGGATGAATTAAGATGACGAGGAAGAATGAAGGGGATGCTCTTAAAGAAATTATTTTTTGTTCCCCCTTTGCAACACTCAGGTCCCGGCACTTGGAGTCTACTGCGACGGTTGTAATTCGACTGAAAAGGTTGCACAGTGCTCATCCTGCCTTGTCAGATGCGGACACGTTCATTAGATGAGCATTCCTATTTAACGGCACATTACGGCCCCATGAAGAACGGCACACAGAGCGATTATTACCCTGACTTTGGTCTTAGCAGACACGTCGTGTGTTCACACAAGTCGGTGCGATCGCCACAGGAAGGCCTCGTGCCGTTCAAACACAGACCATTAATTTGGGACAGTGCTAGCCATCTGCTTGTGTAACAGTTTGTGAGAAGTGTAAGGGATTAGAATAAGTGACTTTCTTGGAATTAGATTGGTGTTTGTATTGGACTGAAATGCTAACATGACCGCTCTGGTTTTTGCTGTACCTCAGGTAGCTTCCTTAAATTAATCCTAAAATAGGAAACACTGAAAAAGCTTGCTTGCATCCACGCTCATCATACAGATCCGCCAGACACAAGTCTAGACAGTGGTGAGCCTGTTCATGGACTCAACTCAGTCACATCTTTCTGTGACACTCTTATTAAAACCGGCACCCCCTCTTCTAATATTACACACACACACACGCACACACACACACACACACTTGTGTACACTCACATCCTCCCCCCTCCCCTCAGTGTGCTGGCCTGCCACGGTAGTGAGGCTTCAGACAGCATCCTGCTCTGTAATTACAGAGGCTGCTGCTGTAGCCCTGCAGTGCTTTACAGACCTGCCCTGCCACCTCATACAAGCTTTCCCTTTAGAGCATTTGACAAGCCTTTACCCTCGCTAGCCTCAACTGTCTCAATACTGTATTAAATCTTACAAGACAGGAAAGTCAGGGGTCATATTCTTGTTTTGCTGCCTCCTATCACTTTAGAGCTACATAACAGTCTGTGGTGCTTTTCACAGCAGGTGTGCTAAACTCTCCGTCTCCTCCACTATCCCAGATGGCGCATCACGGGCTGGTGCAGCCTTCTTCAACGAGTTGAGGAACACTGTATTCGGCAAGGTGGCCCAGAACTCCATCCGACGCATTGCCAAAAATGTCTTCCTCCACCTGCACAATCTGGATCTGGGCTTCCATCTCAGCCGCCAGACAGGAGCGCTGTCCAAGGCTATCGACCGCGGCACACGGGGCATCTCATTTGTCCTCAGTGCCATCGTCTTCAATCTAGGACCAACAGTCTTTGAGATGTTCCTCGTCAGCGCCATTTTGGTGAGTCTCACGGTGACATCTACACACACAGATACCAATAACTGTTATTATAAGCTTCATCATTATTGCCTCAGCCAAGAAGGTGAACATTTGGTCTCTGTTTGTCCGTCAGCAGGATTACAGAAAAAAAAGGTTTCCCCAACAAGGTTTGTTGTTGTGTGGCATTCATGTGGTGTCGGAATATTCAGAAAAATGTATGCTCAACTTCACTTGAACAACCTTCAAATTGGAACAACATCTAAGAAATGTATATCAAAGTGTTGTTTGAATGCTCTAAGCAATACAATCCATCACCTCTTCATGTTGTTTTCACATGATGACTAAAAACTCATGAACACACGAGGTCTGAAGCACGACTTACAATATGAATGCACCATTGGCCTTGGCTCTCCAGTTGCTACTCTAGGCAAGGCAGAGATGTAGTAGGCAGAGTTCCCGTTAGAATATTTTTTGCCGGTCAACATGTCCGTTAAAGTTGAAATCTTCCGGACAAAATTAGAAAAGTGCCGGTCAAAGGTCTTCTTTGTTATTTATTGAGCTTTAAAACAAATTGATATGATTCGATATTAAACAAACTAATTACAGGAGATTAACTACATTATTCAAAAGTTTACAGTAACTGACAATAACACGGGAATAATAAACGGGGCGCTCTCTCCTTCTCCTGACAGCCCGTCAGTATCATGTAGCTCGCGGATCCACTAATGAGTGACCCAACAGTAAAACTAAACATATCTATAACTAGTTTAGGTAGTTTGAGAGGTCATTAAAATAGCTACGTGTGATATTCTAACCTGAAGAGTGTGTTTTGTCTGCTCACCGCTGCATGTCATCATGCAGAGCTGCGTGTCGACTTGTCAGCAGCAGCTGATCTCTCTCTCCCGTCAGATTAGACTTTACTCGCGTTTATGTCCATATCGATCAAATACTATTCTTGTCTGTCACATAAGTGAGGCAACTGATGCGGTATTGCGCTAAGGGGAAATTATTTTGACCGGAGAGATTTAGATTTGCCAGTCTTCAGCATATTTTACCGGTCATAGTCCGGTAATTACCGGCTAAGGGGAACTCTGGTAGTAATATCTTGTTGCTGTTACTGTTTCATCCCTTAATGCACAGGACCTTCCATCACCTTGACACTCTTCATGGCAGATTGTCCGGAAATTAATTTGCGTAATATTGTCTCGTTTACATTCTAAATGGAATATGAATCCCCATGAACTTTTGATGGCAACACACAGCCCATTAGCGTCAATGATGAATGCCAAAGCTTTGTAGCAGCTTAATGTCCTCCTGTGGAGTATGCCCTGAACCAGATGCCCCCCTCCTTGGCCACCACTGAAAGAACGGCTTGTCTATATCTCTGTGGTAATATTCCACTCTGGACTATAATGTCGGCTTCCCTGTAATGAGGGCAGACTCCATTGCCCAAATAGCTAAAGCATTAGCACGATTAGTTCTTGTAGTTTCCCCTCCATTTGTAACACTCAATTTCATAGTGGATGGTCAAAAACAGTACGTTCTCAAAATGCCTTGTGACGCCAACGTCGGTGTCCGGAGGTCTGATGTGGTCCCGTGACTTTTTATCATAAAGCTTTTGAGTCACAGCATGTAAAGGATGATTTGTTTTGTGTGTGCTTTTTCTCTTCTGTAGTATTGGAAGTGTGGTGGACACTTTGCAGCAGTGTCCTTGGGTACCTTATCAGCATACAGCCTCTACACCATTCTCTTCACTCAGTGGAGGTAACAAAGCAGATGTTTTTTATTATCCGATGTATGTATGTCTTTATTTTCTTATTGCTGGTGTCTGTTATTGCTCAAAAAATATTCACTTTATTTTTGTGCTGACTGTAACAATATTCACTCCTAGGCTGAAATTTGTGCTTAAGAAAAAAAACGCCTACGTAAATGTTGCTCATGTCTCTGCACACAGGACTCGTTTCCGGATAGAAATGAACAAAGCCGACAATGAAGCCGGCAACGCAGCTATTGACTCTCTCCTTAACTATGAGACTGTTAAGGTGAGATCCGACCCCCCGCTCAACCACACATATACACACAAACACCTAGCCACTCATCCCCACCCCCATCCCTTCATCCATCCTTCCCTTTTATCTCCTATATTCTAGTCATTCTTCTATTCATTTAATCCAGGGACATTGACGTTAACCAATGTTTACTCCAGAATAGCGTTTCACTGGAATGACGGCCATTGTCAGAATATTCTTTTCAATCAAGAAATAGCTCTCTCTAACTCTCAGTCTCCAATTCTCCCACAACATCTCCTGATCATAAAAGTGTGATAAAAGTCAGTTTAATCTAGTCTGTGCAGTCCCTAGAATCAAGTAAGAAGTGCAAACGTAGAACCTGTTTTTTAAGATTTAAAATGTTAATTTACTGTTATATGATTCTTGTCATGGTCAGTAGACCACCAGATTGAGTATAAATATTGTCCTTCATATTGTCTGGACAAGATGAATTTCATAGTTGGTAAAATTATTGCATACGTAAATTCCTAACCTTATTTACATTGTCCACCTTTTAGAACTGAGGTGCAGATCAAAGCCAATGGAGCAAGCCAACAAATAAGACAAAGTATATGCATATACAAATGAGACAATGGTTTGTATAAAGAGAAAAAGAAAGAACAATGGAAAACACAAACAAACAATAATAACGACTAAAGTAATCCCCTACATTCACTGCCAGTGAGCCTCATACGCACGTGTATTCACCAGAAATGTTGTTAAATGAATACACATGTTCATTTAATACATATGCATATACATACATGTAACATACACACATAAACACATACTGTATACATACACACCTACATATGCTGCAGATAAGCTGTACCAATAACAGATGGTTTTACTGAGTGTGGAAGGCATTTAAAAAAGGTCCCCTGGCTTCCCTAATCATCATCTTTGTATATAACTGTAGTGCAATGAAATTGTCATGTAGAGACACTATGGTTGGCAGTTATTATGCCAAAAGTGATGACACTGCATTTACTTTACTTCAGTTTCATTCACATAGATGTACATTAAACATTTTGGTAATTAGTTACAAAGTAAAAATTGGCACTATTAACTAAATATATATATACTTTTTAACATCGATATTGAAGGGATGATTATCATAACAGTCATTATATCATTACCTCGGGCTGCACATAATGTTCTTTATTATATGTATGTATTATATACCAATTATTGTCTTGATTAACTCTGATCACAAGTACAAGCGCAAAATGATTCCTTTTAAATCTCTTGTTTTACCCGACCTAGAGTCCAAAAACCTTATTATATTCAGTTGACCAAAAAAAAGAAGAGAGAAACGCTGCAAATCACCACAATAGAGGATAACACCAGAGAATATTTGGCATATTGGATGAAAAAGGACTTATCTATTATCACAATTGTTTGTTTATTGTCTGTATATCTCCTAATCAAGTAGAACTTCACCTTTTTAGCGATTCTGTTCCTTTGTCTGTGCTGTTATTATCTGTCCTGCTCCTCATTTCTTGAAGTGTTCAAATATCCACTGCATTTGTAAATGTCACTCGAGTTGCTACAAACAATGAGACATTTATCACCGGACAGTCAGAAATATTTTCCTGGTTTAGTGAATGACCCGTGTCTCTGTTATAGTTTTGACTGGAAGTGTCTGCTGCCACAGGCTTTGTTTTGAATAGAAAAGTCTGCCGAGAGCCAGGTTAGTTTATTGGTGAGTGTTCCCTCCGATATCTGACTGATGAGAAGTGGTGTGGTTGTAAACATTGCTTTATACTTTTCTCAGTAGCTCGGTTATCCTGGATCCTCATCTTTCTGGGTAACATCATTGTGCACAGGACGCATACAATTACACGTATTACCATCCGGTTCTGGGTGTGTTGTTGGGCTATACTAAATATATTTTTTGTACCCATGTTATTTTCCTTGCTGTATTATTTTTGCGTCCTGTTTTTTCTTAGCGTTTTGTTCTGTGTTATTTTGTGTCATCTGTGCCAATGCGGCCGGATTTAGCATCACTCTGAGCTGTGAGTGTGCATATGTAATTAGATCTCCGCCCACTCAGAAATCCGTTCCACTTTCACAAAGGGCTGGATGAGAACCTGAACGCGGTGCCTTGCACTGCTTCGGTTTGTGCTACTCTCTCTCTCTCTCTCTCTCTCTCTCTCTCTCTCTCTCTCTCTCTCTCTCTCTCTCTCTCTCTCTCTCTCTCTCTCTCTCTCTCTCTCTCTTCTCTCTCTCTCTCTCTCTCTCTCTCTCTCTCTCTCTCTCTCCCCTTGCATTTCTCTATATGCAAATCAGTGGCAAGTCGGTATCGGCACAGCACCACTGCCGTTAGCTAGAGAAGCAAATCGCCCACTTAACCAGAGCAGAGGAACAATAGTGCAAACTAAACAAACAGCAATATTAGGTAATTGGCAGCAGAGTTGAGGAGGGTCGTTCTTATGATCATGGCGTAGTTTTATGTGCTGAAAGTAAGAGGTGTGTGTTCTGGCTGATTCATAGGGCTTTCTTATACTTTAAATGATGGCTGTGTGTCTTGGTGAAAATTAGTGCTGCTTGTGTGGTGCTACACTGAAGAGCTGTGTGTGCTTTGTTGTTGTCTGTGTGAGCTGCAACAGATGTAAATTCAGAGGCTGACGATGCCAATGATGAATACTCTGCAACGATTCTTGTTTAACTTGCAAGCGATGTTCCCTTACAATTATAATTGCCTAATATTTTCCAAACTGTTATTTGGCCATAATCACTATCTTCTGCCAAAGCTGCTTTGCTAAGCAGGCTCTGGATTCTGTTTTACCGCCCTCTACATTCTCTGTGGGGATGAGACGAAGATGCAGAGAGAAGAAAAATAGTTTTAGAGGCCGACTGAGACCCAGACTACGCCCAGAGCGGTCACAGAGAACAAATGCAGCCTTGAGGCAGGGTGCGCTTAAGTGTCTATCTGCCCGACACTGCTCTACATGCTTCCTTAAACTTTAACCTTAACCATATTTTGTGTCTCTCCCTCTCCCTCTCCCTCTCCCAACTTTCCTTTCTTGTGTGAATCCTTTTTGCCATCTCCTTGCCCTGTGGCCCCTTCTCCCCTCCCTCTCTGCATGTTTCTCAACTCGGCTGCAGTACTTCAACAACGAGAAATATGAAGCTGAAAAGTACGACTCATACCTGAAGATCTACGAGTCATCCTCTTTAAAAACCACTTACACACTCGCCATGCTCAACTTTGGCCAGAGTGTCATCTTTAGTGTCGGCCTCACCACCATCATGGTGCTGGCCAGCAAGGGCATTGCATCAGGTAAGTGTCTCTCTGTCCCTGTGTGTGTGTATAAACCATGAACAACATGTGTAGTGTAAGCAAAGGCATACATTCATGACCTGAATTTACTTCTGCATGCCCATGTTCTGAGTCCATAGCACGATTACAAAACAAACATTCTGCATTTGGAAATAAAGAACGCTTGAAAAAAATGTATAAGTAAATCATGTGGTTGGATGAAAAACGACAAGTATAAACCTGACTGAACTGGATAATAGAAACTAAATGAGAACAAAGCACAGCAAGCATGAAAAAGTGGCTTGAACAGGAAATATAACAGCCTTGATGCAGAAAATGAAATCACAGCGGGTGGAGATGGATTCACAATTTGAAAGAGGAAATGTTTTGTTGTTTAGATTGTGTCTCCCAAGATACATGCATCATACAATAGAGAATGATGTGCACATCTGTAAGTTGCTGTGTGGCTGTGGTGTAGGTTCGATGACAGTGGGAGACCTGGTGATGGTGAACGGGCTGCTCTTCCAGCTCTCCCTCCCCCTCAACTTCCTGGGCACGGTGTACAGAGAGACCAGGCAGGCCCTGATCGACATGAACACTCTCTTCACCCTGCTCAGCATCGACACCAAGATCAAGGTAACTTGTCAGTATGACATGCACTCATTGTAGCAGTACATTGCAAAACAAATGTTTTTTTTACATTTTGCCTGAGTCTACCAAGAGGGAACAGTAGACTTGGAGACAATAGAAGGTTCATACGGAGTTCAATTTAAAATGTGAAAACTCGATTTACTGAGATTTCTTTCTCCAGTAGCAGCACATAATGGTGGTGAAAGATTTGAACACAGGACTTATATTGCCGCATGTGCTGAGAGAACATATTAATGACATGTTGGGATGTTATTGCAGCAGGATTGTTTTTTGGGTATTTTTTCAGGATATGAACTTGTTGCAAATGCTGCTTTCTTTCCTTTTTCGGTTTTCAAACCCTTGTTTGTCTCAATCATTGATTTGAGGGATGTTATTGAAATAACTGAACACTTAAGTAAGCTTGTTTTATTTCTGTAGATAGTTCCATAAAGATATATGATCTGAGCAAAAATAATCCCTGACTAGAAAATGCTGTAAATATATATGAGAGTTGTGGTGGTGGTTGTTGTTGTTGTTGTGTAGAGCATCTGCTGATCAGTGATAAGGCTGTAGGGTTGTGGTATGTTTATGTATCAGCTGTTTTTTGTTGAACTTACTCTGGTTCAGTTTGGCCTATTTCATTACATTTTGTTAACTAAACATGGACTCGTGCCATTAAGTTCTGTGCTCTTCAGCATCCCCTTGCAATTGCTCTATTGGCCTGTAGGGCTGACAAGCAAGTTGTAATTGATTGTTCTATAACGTAGTATCCTATATGCCACAAATTTGGCATTTTATTTCTTGAATGATTATCAAAAATAATGCTGATCAATCCAGTGTTAGTGCCAAACACATGTAATGCCATTTATATGGTGTTGCTGTCACTATGTAACCACTATCCAAATGTACAAAAAGACAGCCATATTCAAGACAATATTCTGTTCATTAACTTAAAATATGCCAAAAACTAACATGTTAATCAATAGTCATCATACCTATCAATTGTTGTTGTTGTTTTTTACACAACAGCCCATCTTGCATCAGAAGAGCACATTTAAGTGCAAATGTGCAGCTGCTGCCTCTAACAATATGAATGCCATTTCTGTCTCGAGCCTGTAATTATAGTAGGAGAAATGAATCTGTCCAGTTATTTTTCACCCATCAGTAATACTCCTCTCCATTGTGATTCCCTGTGGAATGGCAGTGCCCAGCAGGCCATTACTGTCTGAATGCTTTTTCCCCCGTGGAACACATTGGCTTATTATGTAGATGCAAAATCATTTAAAACACCCCCTTACTTGAAACTGCTCCACAAAATAAAAAAATTAATCCTTTTGGCTTTTTTCCCATGTTGGGGGTGTGTGAAATTATCATTTGTTTATACTAATGGACTAGGAGTTATTTGTATTAATTGTCTGAGGTCGATAGTGGGTGATTATGTTGTTGTTAGATAGTAAAGAAGCAGAGCAGGCTTTTACTCTCAGAGCGAGGACAGCGCTGCATTCACTGCTGACCTTGGCTGCATCTCAGCGCTATGGCTCGGCTCAGTATGTACCGAAAGTTTTCAGTCGCCATGAAGGGCGGCGTCTGAAGATTCAGTTGAAACGACCTCTGGAATTTGCTGTGAATGTGTGTGCTTTATGCAATCCATTCCATGTTGGCTATGTGCTCCAGCGTTATACTTCTTTACAAGGTGTTGGAGTAACGTTGCATCATGCCGGGCCTCGTCTGCCAGGGGCTGTTCTGATTCAGTCTCCTCTCTCTCGGTTTCGTCTCTCTCAACCCTCTGATGCTTTTCTCTAGGAGAAGGATCTCGCCCCGCTTTTAAGCATCACACCGCAGGAGGCCACCATTCGCTTCGAAGATGTCTACTTCGAATACCTGGAGGGCCAGAAAGTCTTAAACGGAGTGTCCTTCGAAGTGCCTGCTGGGAAGAAAGTGGCTATCGTTGGTGGCAGCGGGTCAGGGTAGGTCACTGTTAAACCTTTAGCCAGTTGTGTCATTGCATTTGTGTTATTCCATTAGATTAGATGTTCTTTTTTGTCCCCAAAGGGAACGTCACTGTTCCCAGGTCTCTGCCATACTCACAGATGTGATTTGTGCAGACAGTGTTATCATCAGATATCATCAGCACACTGTTTGGGGGGGGGGGGGGACAGAATGATGCTGACGATTTGTTCCACGTCTGTTTGCAGGAAGAGCACCATTGTGCGGCTGTTGTTCCGCTTCTTTGAGCCTCAGCAGGGGAACATCTACATCGGGGGGCAGAATATCCGAGACGTCGGCCTTGACAGCCTGAGGAGGTCTTTGGGGGTCGTACCTCAGGTCAGAGACACTCCAACACAATGACATCAACAAAAACAAACAAATACAAGTCTTATTTTTTTTCCAAACAATGTTGGTGTAAATGTAATATGTTAACATATTATTGCTAATAATATACAACAAGGGGGCAGCATAGAACAAAGTAACGTTGACAGTACACAACAGCATCAGAAATAAACTGAATTTAGTTTTTTACTGCAGTGAGCTCAGAGGCAGATCTGAACAGATGGTACATAAACAGTGTTTTTGTCATTTGCCTTGGTTCTCTTTCTCCCTCTTACCCTTGTTTTTGTATCTTCAGTCCTCTGTTTCCGACTCTGCTGCAATACATTTTTTACATATTTTGTTCTCTAACCGTGTTGTTGTCAGGATGCTGTTCTGTTCCACAACACCATCTTCTACAACCTGCAGTATGGCAACATCAACGCCACACCGGAGGAGGTCTACCAAGTTGCACGACTAGCAGGCATCCATGACGCCATCCTCAGGATGCCCCATGGCTACGAGACCCAAGTGGGAGAGCGGGGTCTCAAGCTGTCAGGTCTGCTGCACCATCATGACTCCTATTTAAATATGGTCCCTTCTGTAGACGCCAGGGAAAGAGCTGCGTGTTTGTCCCTGCATGGAGACATTATTTTATATATTAAGGCAACTGATTATTTTTTCCTACTTATTAATTTTGTTATTTATCTTTAAGTCTATAGAACAATTTTTAAAAACACTAATCAGAGAAAAGCAGCAAATCCTCACATTTGGGAAGATTTGTTTGTTTTATAATGGACTCTTTTTTTAATCAAAATTGTTGCAAATGAATCAACTATTAATTTCAGCTCAAATATAAGAACTCAATAGATGATAGGGATATGAGGTTTGATTTTAGGTTGAGTGTTATCTGTTATCTTAAAATGGTTTGAATATTTCGTTTTTCTTGTCGTAATGCGAGCTCTACATTACTATCTGACCATATCTTACTGTTTTTTTGGCTGTTGTAGCTGAAATACTAACTGCATTACATATTATTGAGTCTTACATGTTTGGATGTTTGATTGTGTTAGTTTTGTACAGCTCAACATTGAAAACAAATGGTAATTTATATACATTTACTGGAAGAAATAAGGCAAATTAGAGGAGCATAAACCTTTCACACACATTCTTATCCACTGCCATTCGCTGGCAAGAGTATACAAGAATGCAGTTGCCATCTTGTTTGCTCTGATATAAATAAATGAGACTGAGAGACTGCAAAATAGTGTGAGCAATATTTCAAATGGCACAGCTCTAGATTCATATTAAACTATTGCAGTTGAATTGACTTGTAAGACTTTGATTATGATTCGTTGTTTTGTAAAACAAGGTGTTAATTAAACCTTCAATTTGACCTTATTTATGACATTCATTAGCTGAGCAATTGTTATTTTGTTGTCCTCTTCTGTGTAGTGTGAGAACTTGTTTAATGGCACGTTGCCTTATTTGATCTGCAGTGATAGCACACGACTGTGTAGTATTTGGCTCCTAGCATCACTCTGCAACTCATTTAGCCCACGTTAACACACACAGTGTGTGTGAGCACTTTCACTCAACATTCAAGATGCAATTACTGGCAGCACAGATTTCTTTATGTGGAGTGACTGAGTGAGTGAGAGAACGGACAAAATAAAGACATGACTAACTTCTCATTAATTTTAACTGCTGCGGTACGTGACAGCTGCCAGTGAGTTTGTCTCAGGAAAGAGAGGGAGGTGGGGGGGGGGGCAGTCTGGGCTGTGAGGCTCCTAACTTCCTTCAGTGCTGTTCTCCACTGCCAGCAATATTTATAACTGCTGAACGCCGCTTGCTGTCAAGAGGCCTCACACAGCTCATATGTAATAAAGGCCGAGTCAGACACAGTGGGAGAAATCTTTGCGTCCTGCTGACTTTTCTTCACAATTAAATGAAATTCGCTTTTACCAGCCCTCTGTTTGAGGTAATTATCTGATGAGGGGCCAGAGAGAGACCTGCTGTATCCTCACACATCTCGGCTGTAGCCTGGTTTGCTCCTATTTATGACGGTGCTTCTGTTTCAGGAGGGGAGAAGCAACGTGTCGCCATCGCCCGTGCGATACTGAAGAATCCCCCCATCCTGCTGTATGACGAGGCAACATCGTCCCTCGACTCTATCACAGAAGAGGTGAGCCTGACAGTGCATCATCACAAACGCACTGACACACACACATGGATACCTCAAATGCCCGTTGGCTGCTGCACGTACAGGTTGACTCCTCACAGTGGCTGCATGCACGTTTGGCAGAACAAACATCCTTTTCAGTCACTCCTGTAGGTACTCGGCTCACTCCTGCGTCACATACCTGCTGTGACACACACACACCCCTCCCCCCTCTACACACGCACACTCACCCACCCCCCTGTTCTCCCCTGCCACCTGCCACTGTTTTCTCCTGCTTAATCTCCAGCTCAGCTTAAACCCCACAGTCTTTGTAAATGTTACATTTAATGAGAAAGTTCAGCATGCCCTCTCTGAACTTCTGGAAAGAAAACAGGGCATACGACGTGGTTTTTAATTGAGATTTTCAGTTACTTCTTATCACGACGGCCTTTTAAAATTATCATATGTAAACATTGGATAGAAAAGCATATGAAGGTGGATGTTGCTCGGCAACATTCTGTTGATTTTTACTTTCTTTTTCAATCTTTTGGAGTGCATTTCATATATATCCTGTCCTTCGTGCCCTTCTTTTCCTCATTATGTTTGCAAGTCACCCTCATTGCATATCTGTGGAACAATTTTCTTTTGGATTAGAGGACACTTCTGTACATTTTAACAACGTGATTTATTTGTCTTTGTTTGCTTCCAGAACATCTTGACTTCGATGAAGGGGATGGTGAAGGACAGGACATCAGTGTTTATCGCCCACAGGCTCTCCACAATAGTAGACGCAGACGAGATTATAGTGCTCAATGAGGTAAGAACTCTTCCACTTATTTTATATTTGATCTCATACTTTCCTTCATTAACATTTCCTATTGTAATGTCAGGGTTTATAAAAAGCAAATAATATGATGGTTCAGAGTTTCTGAATAAAAACATGCGCTTGGTTAATTGCCCGTCCAATTAGACTGGCTTGCATTGAAGGGAAGGAAGATGACCTGCACTCTGCGTGACCTTCAGCACTGGATCTGCCAGCAACACCAGTTCAGCAAGCAGCCTCTGTTTTTGCCACTCATTTAATTTGAGTTACCTTTCTACCATGTACGTGATGAAGACATGCTTTGTTTAGCTTTTCTCATTAACTTCCACAACAACAGGAGCCTGTTGGTAGAAGTGAATGTATTATTTTCTCCATAAGGGCTCATTAAAGCAGTCAGACTCAACTGGCTGTTTTGGTCAGATGGCGTGTCTTGTTTGTCTCGGTGACTAATAATGTATGGGCCAGCTTCCCAGACACTGATGAGGCCTCGTCCAGGACTAAACATTCAACAGTCTTTTATTGGAGAGTGCCATTCAAATGGTTTGACTAAAACATGTTTTGTTCAGGCTGAAGGTGCCTTGGAGATGAAGAGCATGTTTTAAAATCTTTTGTTGCATTATTGTCACTGTATTATGCATCAGAGCAATATCCAGGCAATAAAAAAAGCAGCTTTACTCAGCGGGTTGGGCTTGAGACACAGAGGGATGTCAGTTATTATCTGAAAAGTAAGAGTTAATATGAAATGTAACACAGCTGAAGTGACATGTTCCACTAGTGCTAGAGTCAGATAGGATCAAATGAGAAAATATTTCTTTGAACTGTAGCGAGTGAGCATGTGTGGGTCCATGTTTCCAGAGTCAGATGGCAGGGATCAGAGGGTCGTGGCGAGGAGGCATGTTTGCTTGTGATGTCGCCATGCCGTTTGCTGATGTCACCAGCAGAGGACTGCCTGGGGTGCTCATTAAAATAACTAGCGGAAGCAGTCACATGCTCATCTTGGGTGCACTAAAGATGATGCCAACACCTCTGCATGCTCATGGGAGGTGGGGGAAGGGGGTGCCTTCATTTGTGTTTGACTGTGTGGGAGGGATGTGTGTTTGTTGCGTGCCGATGAGCCTGTGTCTGTGAGTCGTGTTTTTGCGAGAGGATTGCAACAGTTGTTGGGGAGGCGGCAGGGATTCTAGGGGGGAGCTGACTCTCCGCTGAGAGTGTGGTCAGTGTTGTGTGGTCATGACGAGATGCTAACTATAGGAATCTGTGTTCATGGTCTCTTCATTTTCACTTCATGTGTGCTGCACAACTTGCATTGGCAGGTTTAGGTTTCATGTTTGTTTCTTCCGTTCTTTCTCCGCCAGGGTAAAGTGGCAGAGCGAGGCAACCACCAAGCCCTCCTCAACATCCCCGACAGCTTGTACTCAGTACTGTGGAACACACAGAACAGCAAAATCCTCAACAGGGACAAGAGCTCGTCCGAGCCCCCGGCTGAACGCCTGTCCCAGAAGGAGGAGGAGAGGAAAAAACTGCAGGAGGAAATCGTCAACAGTGTTAAGGGCTGTGGGAACTGCTCCTGTTGAGAGAGGCTGCCCTCCTCGTCTCTACATCCCTCGCAGATGGCCTACACTGGAATCCCTGCCTGGGCTGTGCAGCATTTGGGAGGGAGCAGAGTAGGGGTACATCCCCAATACCCACTCAAGCCAAGCCCCCACCCATGTGACAATCCCTCCTCCTCGTATGAATAAAGGCCTCTGCTCGCCAAAGTGAAGGAGGAGAGCAGAACAGGGAGCAAGTGTGTTTAGCACTGGCTGGTGTCCAGAGATAGAGCTTCAATGCCAGTTGTCTCAGCTGAAGCCAAGCATAAGAGACCTTGTATATCACAAACGTGTGCGTAAGACATCTGTTAGTCAACATGGTTGCCCCCTCTCCTCCTATTTTTGACATCAGGTTTATTGACATTTTCCATTGCACTGGAAACAGATGAGAGTACACGTAATGACTTGCATATGCCTTGATATTGACACAACATTTTTATTGATTACAGTTTTAGATGTATTTTTTTTATATTAAGGATCTGCATGTAATACAGGTTATTTGGGGTTTAAAAAAACTGACAGAAGGATTGTTTTGCAGTATGTGTTGGTTTGTAATAGGTATTTCAATTGGATTCGGTCATAACACACATTATCCAATATGTTTTTGAATGCATGTTCACAAATTATCAAATTAGGCAGATAATCAGGTCTTCTTGATTCGACTAACAACATTATGTTGATGTTTGGAACATGCAAAATTGTTCCAGTGTGAAATTACACTGTCACATTCACAAGTATAACACAAAGAATGACAAGAAGTAACTATAATAAATCATGAACAATTTTCACCACAATTGGAGACACATTAAGAGGAAACAACTTGGTTCCTCTGGGAACAGTTCCCTGTCATAAAATATAGACTTGTATGACGGGCCTCTTGTAATGACGCTTAATTCAAAGAGTTGTAACTGCTGAGACAGCTTTTTGGATTGTATCACTAGAATAAGGAGACTTCTTTCTGAAGGTTACATGTAATTCTTAATATTTAAAAACTGAAGGTAAAAGTATGTCCTCATTTTCTGAGGGCGGGTTTGGCAGTGATACACACATTTAGTTTGGAACCTTGGTATCTTATATCTCTGAATTAAAGGATTATTATACTAAACACACAATGTGAAACCTGTTTCATAGCATTCTGGACTATGTTGACTTTGTGTGTACACTGCAGAAAGGATAAAGATAATAAATGTTGACTTTTGTCTAAATAACGAGGTCTCCATTTTGTTGTTCTGAGTCATATGATGAAATATAGCACAAGATGTACATTTATTTATTTGTCTGGTATGTGTTTTTGAGGTTGTATTCGGTTGAGACCCCTCTATGTGATAACTAAAGGAGTCACAATATTATTAATAAGAAAGAATTAAATAAAAATGTCTGCTACACAAAGGTCTAATTTTTCCTTTTTACTTGTGTAAGGAATAATTTGAAACAAACAAGTTAATAATTGATTTGTAAAGGTGTGGTGGGATTAATAAAGGATTTCTGATCCTGATTCAGGACTGCGAACATTTTCAAAGAAACTATCTTTGGAATTTGACACTTTAAGACATCCTAATTTCAACGAACAAATATACATTTAAGTTACTGAATAGATTGCTGTGAGCAGATGGATGACCAGTTATATTTTTTGGTAATGTGTATAGGTTGCCTCTGAGAAAATCCATATGAGAACTGTCAAATTATTTTGGCATTTCCCTTGTAATAAAAACGCTTGTAAGTATCTTGTGAATAACAGACTAAGCGATGGAAATGAGAAACATGAGCAATAGAAATCAAGTTCATGTCTTCGATAAAAGATTGTAAAAATAGGTGAGGTACAGTATACAATTCACAGCATAACTAATTATCCCCCCATTCTATCCTCATCCGTTTTATTTATTCATATTTTATCTTATGATATTGTTCGTTTTTTTTTCCGTAGCCATATAATTTCTTCAAATACAAATGATGAACAACAAAGAAAATGTTTTGATCAAATCATTATTTGCTTGAATTGTGTAAAGTTCAGCAGCCATGTTAAAGTCCTCCTTCAAGCACGTTTTAAAGGATTTCGAAAATAGGCTACTCTGCTATCATTTATATCTAAAACATTTGAACATGTGTTTCTGGTATAAAAGGCGGGAAGACTGTATGCCCCGCCCACAATGCGTTTAATTCGGCTTGAATTGAGCTACTGAAATGCTTACAGAGGACAGGTCTATGAGTTTCTCTTCAATACAAAACATGGAGAAATCAAGCCAAACATGTTAAACTCATATTGTGCAGCAAAACCTGGGACTTGCAGAAGAATCAGAAAGGTAAGTGGTTATAATCTATTATTTGTTAGCTTTTTAGCTTGTTAGCTTGTATATGGCAGTAGCTGACAGTGTGCCTGTTCTTTAAACATATAATAACATCTTGTGGGATTGTATGGCTTATAGAGGGAGCTCCATGTTCTGGTTTTCTACTCGACCTTTGATAATGCTAACATTTTGTCTCTATACTGACAAGTAGGGGTTTCAGGGTTGTTGTTTTTTTGTGTTGTGTTGAAACTGTATCCCGGTTGGTGTTTGTGTATTATTCATTGTTTGGCTATGATGACATTCTTGACTTACTAAATGTACTTTGACAGGGATAACTTTCAATGTCAGATTTCAGGGAAGTCTGGAGGAATGCGAAAACACCTTTCTAGTGACAGCTCTTCACGATACACACCAGTATAATCCACTTCAGACATTTTAGGGGTCATAAACAATAGAAGAAAATGTTTCAGTGTAGGGGAATTTGAACTTCGACTAGGAGTTATGGATGCATTCTTTTAAAGGGGTCACAAGACTAAGGTTGAGAAAAACTTTATGGGGAAATGTATGCAATATTGGACTGAGAGTATGTTTACATATGCACCATATTATGTACATTTTATTGCAAATGTATACAGTATTAAAAAAAAATACATATACCATAATATAATTTATTCGTACTCACAAATCAGTTATCTGAAAGTAAATCCCATATTTTAGGTTTAGAAACGGCTTCCCTCTAGAAGCCCTGCAGATCTGGATCCTCTGGGACCAAACGCACAACACTTTCTATGTTGCCTTTCAGCAAGATTATAATTGAAACTGACGAAAACAAAAACATTCACATAATGTGATAGACGTTAGCCGTTGATGCGCCTCCACCACCTCTGGAGGAAGTCACACATTATAGATGAAAGTAGACTTTGATAGAGCTCTGCTTAAAAGCAACTGGATGATTACTGGTTGGATGGGGCTTCCTTTCATGCATCAGATGTCCAGGCAGATGAGTTTATGTTAATGACGTCCTTCTAATCTAACCTAGGAAGAGATTATGAGACTATTCATTAGCGACTACCAACAATGTTCAGCTTCCCCTCCCAGGTTATTTGCTCATTATTCAGTAAACATTACACACTACTATGATATGCTCGGGTTCTGTGACAGAGCCTCGGATATTACACAGAGCAGGATGTTCTCTGTTCCTTTTCTTCTTTGCTGAGGCAAATACAGTCAAGGACATAACACTAAAAGTATTGAAGTTACTGAGCAATTCGAGATGGACGTACACAGTGGGGTGTTTTCTTCCTGGCTATTTATGTTGAAAAACTGCGCCACTAAATGTGATCCATCCAATGACCCTTAATTGTTCTGTATGGGGTGCATGTGATTAGTGCTGTTGTGAGCTGTTTGTCTGCATGTCCTCGGAGGTAATGAGGACGCGATCTCCCTGTTTACCAGCATTCTGTAGGCGCAAAGGAAGACAGCCACATAAAGGCCTTTAATAACGTCCTAAATATGGACCACAGCAGGAGATTCAGCTTCTAATGCAAACCACAACCTTCTACTGAAGGGGAGATTTTCAAAGATGTTGCTGATGCGGATAGGATGATATCTCCTTTTTAACACACACTAGTTCTGTCCATGCATGACTACATCTTAGTATCTTGCATGGTGATTCAATAATGGATTTAATTTGAAGATCTTCTAAAGAAGAAAAAGAGCTGTGTCTGTGGTCCCATGGAAGCTGATCAGAGTGCATAGGTGAGAAGAGGGGTTCAGCCACACACGTCAAATCCCCACTGACCCCTCCATGGCCTGTTGCTGAAGTCTGCCGTGCTTTTTTTTATCATGATAAGAGGCAGAGCGGGCTGAGACTTAGGGCCATCCCTCTGCATCAGACAGTCAGCTCTCCCATCCCACTACAATGAAACTAGTATGTGGCCATGGGCGTATACGCCTTGATAAATATGCATCGATGCCTCAGAGCAGATGTAGTTATTTCCACCGTTTTGTGTGGGAGGTGTACATTTATGTGCGTAATCCCGCGTACTATATCAATGCTCCTGGTCAAATGAGAATGAATATTCACACATGTGTGCACTTGCGCACACACGGCTGATCCTTTTTAGACAAGGCAAGGCAAGTTTATTTATATAGCACCTTTCAACACAAGGCAATTCAAAGTGCTTTACAAAAAACGAAAGACATTAAGAAAATGGCATTTAAAATCAGTTATTAAAAAGAAAAGATAATAAAAGAAACATTAAAAGAAAAAATACATGGTTAAAAATTACAGTGCAGTCTAAGATATGAATAGTTCAATTAAAAGCAGCGGCAAAAAAGAAAAGTCTTTAGTCTGGATTTAAAAGTAGTCAGAGTTGCAGCGGACCTGCAGGTTTCTGGGAGTTTGTTCCAGATATTTGGAGCATAATAACTGAACGCTGCTTTACCATGTTTAGTTCTGACTCTGGGGACAGAAAGCTGACCAGTCCCTGAAGACCTGAGAGATCTGGATGGTTCATTATTTAGCAGGAGGTCAGAAATGTATTTTGGGCCTAAACCATTCAAAGCTTTATAAACCAGCAGCAGTATTTTGAAATCTATTCTTTGACACACAGGAAGCCAGTGTAAAGACTTCAGAACAGGAGTGATGTGATCCACTTTCTTAGTGTTAGTGAGGACTCGAGCAGCAGCGTTCTGAATTAGCTGCAGCTTTCTAATAGATTTTGTAGTGAGACCTGTGAAGACACCATTGCAGTAGTCCAGTCTACTGAAGATAAAAGCATGGACAAGTTTTTCCAAATCCTGCTGTGACATTAGTCTTTTAATCCTAGATATATTCTTTAGGTGATAGTAGGCTGATTTAGTAACAGTTTTAATGTGACTGTTGAAACTCAGGTCCGAGTCCATGACTACACCTAGATTTCTGGCTTTATCTGTTGTTTTGAACATTGCAGACTGAAGCTCAGCGCTAACTTTTATACGTTCTGCCTTGGCTCCAAAAACCATTACCTCAGTTTTATCTTTGTTTAATTGGAGAAAGTTCTGACACATCCAGTCATTGATTTGTTCAATGCACTTACTCAGTGTTTGAATTGGAGCATAGTCTCCTGGTGAAATTGTTACGTAAATGTGTGTGTCATTCGCATAGCTATGGTAACTTATTTTGTTGTTTTTCATTATCTGAGCCAGTGGTAGCATGTAGATGTTAAAGAGAAGAGGCCCCAAGATGGAGCCTTGAGGTACCCCACATGTCATATTTGTCAACTCAGATGTGTATTTACCTATAGAAACAAAGTTGTTTCTGTCCTTTAATTAGGATTCAAACAAATTTAGAACTGTTTTCGAAAGTCCCACCCAGTTTTCTAGTCGGTCGAGTAATATGTTGTGGTCAACAGTGTCAAACGCAGCACTGAGATCTAATAATACTAACACTGAAGTTCTGCCACTGTCTGTGTTTAAGTGGATGTCATTGAAGACCTTTACAAGAGCAGTCTCAGTGCTGTGGTTTGGACGAAAGCCTGACTGGAACACATCGAAACAGTTATTTAAATGCAAGAAATTACTCAACTGTTGAAAAACAACTTTTTCAATGATTTTACCTAGAAATGGCAGGTTTGATATGGGCCTGTAATTGTTCATTACTGAAGCATCTAGATTATTCTTTTTTAAGAGAGGTTTAATGACTGCAGTTTTCAGGGCCTGTGGAAAAATACCTGAGTGAAGAGATTTGTTTACTATATGAAGTTGATCTGAGGCCATGCAACGAAAAACATCTTTGAAAAATCCTGTTGGAATAATATCAAGGCAGCAGGAGGAGGATTTCAGAAGTTGAATAATGTCCTCTAGGTTTTTATCATTAATCTGATGGAATTGTGTCATGGTGTTTGAATTTATATTAGGTGGACATAGGGACAACACATTTGCTGTACCTGATGCAGAGGCACTGACTGCTTGTCTGATTTTCTGAATTTTGTCAGTGAAAAAGGAGGCAAAATCATTGCATGCCCTGGTGGATAGAAATTCAGAGGCTACTGACACTGGGGGGTTAGTTAGTCTGTCGACGGTAGCAAACAAGGCATGTGCATTGTTTTGGTAATGAT